CCCCAAAACCCCAAAACCCCAAAACCCCAAAACCCCGAATTATCGTAAAATTATTGAAAATATTTATGAAGGATAGTAATTATATGATGTCTACATCTTTGATGCAATGCTTGGAGGAGATCGGTGGAAAACCCCTCCTTGACTCTAAATAACCACTTCTTATTTGATCATGAAGAGATTGGAAAAGGGTTTGACGAGATATCACATTTGCACCCAGAGCCATCTGATTTACATAATCATACCAAATATGAACAGACTAATTGGCTCAGAAATATTCAGTAAGGTTAAATGATAACTCTTAGTGAACCGTACTCTGAGCCTCCTAAGAAGAGGGCCAAAAAGGAGGCAGATAAGACCCTTGGTGAAGATCTCTCCTTCGCTCTCAGTGAAGAGAGCAAGGATGTGTTAGGAGAGCATCCTTCTTGGCATGAATTAAACTCCGATAATCCTAATCAAAATAGTATTCCAAAATAAAGAATTAGAAGCAAAATCCAAAAAGTCAAATAAGCGCAAAAGGGACTCAATCAGTACCAGAGTTAAGAAATGTAGGGAACGAAAGGAGAAATTTTACAAAGACCTTGAAGCAAGGGCTGCTCGCTTGGAGAAAAAGTGTGAGATGCTCACCAAAGAGTTGGCTGATTACAAAACAAAGCTCTCATTTTATGAAAACATGCAGAATACACCAGGTTCAGCTAATTTCCAAAGTGTTGATTCTAAATTCTTTGATAATGTCAGAAAGAAGATTCAAGAAAGCAAAGAGAGTGACCTTACCATAGTTAAGGCATTTGAGAAGGTGGGCAATCTCTATGGCCCATTTGGGCAGGAGAAGCTCAAGGTTCTTGAAAGCTCCTTCAACTGCTTCCTTGAGAATATTTTATCAGGTTCTAATATAAAAATTGCGTTCTACGCTTGAGAGAGTTTTCCGAAAAATTATACAGAGTATCAGAAATACTTAAAACTTAAGAAATATCAGCAACACGAAAAGTTTCCTGACAAGAATGTCAGGTAAGTCAATTCAGTTATTACTTAGGGAGTTTATAAATTACCGCCAAAGCTGGCTGAAGACCAAGGTCGAGTTTAATAACTGGATCAAGAACATGATCCCCGCTCTGAAGATGATCAGGGAGGAAATGAAGGATGCCATTGGAACCCTCTTTGATGCAAGGATGAACATATATAAAACACTTATGAGACTTGATCTCTTCATGGAGTTTTTACCTAATCTTCAACTGAATCGTGAAGAAATACTAAGGATTCTTGAAGAAACTAAGCACAGCAACTTTGTAATCTCTTCAAAGGAAGCCTTAGGTATCTCAGAAGAAGAGATTGAGATCACTGAGACAATGGAGGTACCGAACAAGAGTATTTATAAAAACTATTTGAAGTTCCAAAATTTGCTGGCTGAAAAACAGAGGGTGCCAAAACAATTCAAGAAGACTTATAAAATTAGAAACCTAAGTTTTGCTTAAAGGAATAGCTGAGTGACACTATAAAGTGTTTAACCATTTCTACGGTGAGTTTACACCAGTTATTCTAGCATAAAAAATTGGCATGTGATTTTCTGGAAGAGGTTATTCAATATTATGATGTAATAAAGGGGTTTTGGGGTTTTGGGGTTTTGGGGTTTTGGGGTTTTGGGGTTTTGGGG